GTGACCTTAGTTCGAGTTGACAAGCAAGCGTTTTCCACCCCAGAGTCCATAGCCGATTGAGGTTCATCACAGCGCACTCACGGCATCGGTGCTGTACGGATGTCCCTCGTAGGCCCTCACCCAGGAGATGTGTCGCACTTCACGGCGTGCGCAGCGGAGAGTGCTCAGGCTTGTTCGTAGGGCTGCCATGGCATCACAGCATAAAATGAAACCATACCCGCACGACAGGCAGGCATACCCAACACGGCAGAACCAGAGAAAAAGAGAGAGAGAGAGAGAGAGACACGAGACGACGCAATGGAACCATGTGAGGATTTCATACGAAGATCGACGCAGAGCCCTGGAGCATATTCGGCATGCAATTGTGGTCTACCGATCTACGATGCACTTCAAACGAACGTGGCGGTGGGTATCGCGCATCGCAGCCCACGATTATACTACAGGTGGACACGGCTCCCTGCTCGATGGACTCCCGACACCCACGCCCACGCCCACCCACACGACTCCGGTTCCAGCTCCTGTTCCTGCTTTGTACGTTTGGCGTTCCGATTCTGGTCCCCATCATGTTTCCAACAACGGGTCCGATGTCCGTCCTCCAACGCCGACGCCCTCCGGTTTACACCCTCGAGCGCTTACGGGTGAGCGGATGGCCGGCATCGTTCCGATGTTCATTGGTGTAGTCGTCAAGCAGTGGCGAAGCGTCTTGGCTTGCCTATAGGCCTACCAAACAATGTTCTAAGAACCTTGTGTGGTTTCCACGAAATGTTCTTAGAACATTTCTGGCCGATAGATACTGTTCTGTTTGAACACCTAGGGTTTTTGCTCTAAGAACATTGATTTTGTTATAAGAACATGCCTGGGTTCTAAGAACATGTCGTAGTACGCCTATGGACATGCCGGGACGGTCGGTCCGTGCTCAAAGTCGTTTTTGCTCGGCGTTCTGGTGCCATCGCCGGCCCTTCGCAGGACACTGCCTCCACCTGGGGTGACAGACTGGCGCCCCGCCTCGCCGCGCGCCGCCTCGCCTGAACGCGTCTGGCGTCTGGTCCTGGTGGCGACTTGCCCCGCAGGTCGGCGAATGCGGGGGCACAAGGGGGAGGAGGAGGAGGAGCTGTAGCAGGAGGAGGAGGAGGAGGAGGAGGAGGAGGAGGAGGAGGAGGAGGAGGAGGAGGAGGAGGGGGTGGCTGGCGGAGGAGCTGGAGCTGGAGCAGGAGGGGGAGGAGGAGGAGGAGGAGGAGCAGGAGGAGAGGGAGGAGCAGGAGAATGAGGAGCAGGAGGAGCAGCAGGAGGAGGAGGAGGAGCTGGAGCTGGAGCTCGAGCAGGAGGAGGAGGAGGAGCAGCAGGAGGAGGAGGAGGAGGAGCAGGAGGAGGAGGAGGAGGAGGAGGAGGAGGAGGAGGAGGAGGAGGAGGAGGAGGAGGAGGAGGAGGAGGAGGAGGAGGAGGAGGAGGAGGAGGAGGAGGAGCAGCAGGAGGAGCAGGAGGAGTGGAGGAGCAGAGGAGCTGGAGCACGAGGGAGGAGGAGGAGGAGGAGGAGGAGGAGGAGGAGGAGGAGGAGGATCGAAGCCCTGGGGAAACCAGGATCAGAGGAGGAGGAGGGGGAGCAGCAGGAGCAAGAGGAGGAGGAGGAGAAAGAGAGCAGGATGAGGAGAAGGAGGAGTGGGAACACTGGAAAGAAGGAATAGGAAGAGGAGGCGGAGGAGGACTCGGAGGAGGAGATGGAGGAGGAGGAGAAGAAGGACGAGGAGGAAAGAGGAGGCGGAGGAGGACCAGGAACGGGACCAGCAGCAGGGAGCAGGGAGGCAACATTCCATCGACGTTGGTGCGCAAAGCCAAATGGGGCCTCCGCCCCCCGCCCTCCCCCGCAGGCGAAGGCCGCGGAGGCCGAGGGGCTCACCGCGGAATGCGCGAGGCTCCGCGCGGAGGCGCCGGCCGCCCTCGGGCGGCCAGTGAAGCCGCCGCCGGCCGCCGCCTGCAGCCGAAGGTCACCGAGCGCGTTCCACTGCTCGCAGAGTGCTTACTCGCAAACTGATGGGCCGAGTTTCCAGCACCAATACCATAGGAGGAGGAGAAGGAGGAGGAGGACCTCCCCATCCTCCCTTCTCCCCCGTCCTACCGATGGTAGTGGTGGTGGTGGAACGTTAGCCCATCACAAACGTCGGACAAAAACATGCGTCTGCCTTGGTGTAATGGATCGTGAGTCCCCCGCGGCGGCCCCTGTCGGAGGTTGACAGACCTCCTGCCCTGACACGTCGATGAGCGAATTGGCCGTTTTCGGTTCTCGAGAGGGCGTCGCGGCCGTCGTTTTTGCGGGTCCAGGCCCGTCGGTTTCGGTCCTATGCCGTTTCCACGAAATGGAGGTTTACTAAGGGGAGGTTTGTCCACCGCCGATCCTTGCCATGTGCTCTAAGTCCGGCCTGTCCCTCTGCAGGGGGAATGTTCAGAAATAGCAAACAAATAGTCTGGGGACTTTTTTTTTGCTATTGGGGAGTCTTTTGTCTTGTGTGAGTATTTTTGATTTTTCGCCCAAAATCCCCCTGCAGGGGGACGGGCCCGACCACACCTTTGCGAGCAGTTGCCCCTGCGGGTCGTGGAGCGCCGCGCTCTTCTGGAGAGGGGGGTACCTCGGCCGCGGGGCGCCGCCGGCCGTCCTCGGGGGGCACGTCGGCGGGGCCCACGCTCCACCAGGAGGGGAAGAAACACGCAGACAAAAAGTAATGGTCGGCTTCCTAGAACACACGGGGAGCTATGGGCAGTGGGGGGGGAGACGAACACCCAGAAAATGTAGGAAATCTTTGGGAAGGAATCCTGTTAGTTTTGTGTGTGTGTGTGTATTTGTTCGTGTGCTCGTGTGCCCCAGGGCCTCAGGGCCCCTTCAGTTCTGGGCCTCCCAGATGGGGTCGGAGTAGATGGGGTCGGAGGATCGCGCCGCATCGCCGATGCATCGGCGATGCATCAACGATGCGGCTCGATGTGGGGCCCGATTTCCTCCATGCTGGCGTCGCCGATGCATCGCCGATGCATCGGCGATGCGGCGCGATCCTCCGACCCCATCTGCTAACCCCATCTAGGAGGCCTCTACGTACACGTAACCCAGACCCCCCATGTGTTCCAGCGCAGTGTCAACCAGATGGGGCCAGGACGAGGATAAGTCTGTTCCAGAGCGTTCCTGAACGCTCTCGGCGCGTTCCGGAACGCTCCGAGAAGGCCGTGGCGCCCGAATTGCCGGATCTCAGAGATTCTCGATTTACCTTCACCCGCTATTCATCCTCGTCTTGGCTTCGTCTCGAACCAAGATGCAGATTCAGCAACGTTTGTATCATATTTTAGTTTCGTGCCTTTCCGTATTAGCCGTTTTGGCCCTGGATGTTCGTAGGCCCCAAGATTGGCGGCAACCAGTCGCTCCCGCAAGTAGTTCCTCGGGCAGGGTTTGCATGTCTTGGCCTTGACACTGTGCTGGAAAACATCGGGTCGTGAGGATAGCATGACGGAGGATTTTGTTTGCTACTTTCGGCCTTTGGGGAGGCTGGCCGAACATTGGGGTCGTCGAAAAACGACTCGGGATGGAAGGCCGGTGCCGGGGAGTCGATGTCATGAAGAAGTCATGACATCGGGGGTCTGGGAACGGGGCTCAGCGCTGACGGGGGTCAGCCAGAGCGCCAGACCCTGCAGGATCCCGCAACGCTGGATCTGGGCCGAACCGGGTTTGGGAGCTGGTCGCTCACCCAGAGGTGGCCTTACGTACAGTCGGACCGAGGTATAAGATTGAGGTCAGTTCGGGGAGGGTACCCGAATGTTCTGCGTGCGTGTTGGGGGTTCCTGCGCATCCTGAGGGAGAGCATCCTCGAGTGCTCTCCAGTTTGGCCAGCGGAGGGTCTCGTGTTCTTGGCCGGGCTCAAGAGGCGAGGCTCAATGCAAACCGGGGTCAGTCAGAGCGACGTGTCTTGCAGGATTCTGCAGAGCCAGGGTTCATTGACCTGGGCTCAAGTGCAGGATTCTGCAGGATCCTGCACGGCCGGACTGACCTGGGCTTGGAATGACCAGGGTCAGTAGACCCTCGAATTGCAGGATGTTTTTTTCTGTCCTGGGTCTGGCCGAATCTCTAGGCCTCCTAGATGGGGTCCGAGTCGATGGGGTCGGAGGATCGCGCCGCATCGCCGGTGCATCGGCGATGCGGCTTGATGTGGAGCACAATGTTCTTTCTCCACGCTTGCGTCGCCCATGCATCGGCGGATGTGTCGGCGGTGCGGCGCGATCCGCCGACCCCATCTGCTCCGATCCCATTTAGGAGGAGGGGGAAAAACACACAGACACAATTAAGCGTCGATTCCCCCAAAAGTATTGGAAAATATGGGAAGTGGTGGGGAAGACAGAAACCCAGAAAATATGGGAAAATATGGGGAGTCTTTTTTAAGTGTGTGTATTTATTTGTGTGTCCCAGGGCCCCTTCAATTTAGGAGGCCTCTGGTATCTAAGCTGGGTTTGGGACCCCCTCCCCCCGCCATCAGAGAAAAGGCAGCGCCGCCGGAGCCAGCCGCGGCCAGCCGCCGAGGGGGGGGGAGGGGCTGGCCGCGGGGCGCTGCCGGCCGTCCTGGGGAGGCACGCGCTCCAGGGCCAAGACGATCCCGGGCGCCCAGATCGTGGGGTCGCCTCGATAGATCTCGAGGTCGACGACACGTAGGAGTATGATTAAGTCGGGCGTGTCCCCCTGCATGGGGATTTCCGACGAATATATATATATATATATATAATCCAGAGAAGGTAAACAAGTACTCAAAAAATAGTCCCCATACTATCTTTGCATTATGTTTTAAATTATGTTTGGCGTATCTTTTATCTTTCGTCGAACATCCTTTTGGCGTATCTTTTATTTTTCGTCGAAAATCCCCCTGTAGGGGACAGGCCCGACTTAAGATTATGATGTTCCAACCAATTTTAGCCTCGACCACCAGAAAAAAAAAGTTCGAGCACCAGATGAAAAGTGCCGAAACTCGAGGGTGTTCACGTGCTGGGCCCTGGGAGACACTCGTCCGACACGGTTTCGACACTGTTTCGACACTCTTTCGACATTTTTCTGGGTGCTCGAAATTATTTCTGGGATGTGGTCCTGAAGTACGATGGGGGCTACATGAACGTAAGAGTGACCTTGCGCCAGAGTGACCTTTGGTGCGGGCCCGAAGGGCGCCCAGCGATCGCCGAGCGCCAGGCAGCAGCCTGCGCCGTTGGTGGTGTCCCCAGGGGGCCCCTATTGGCAGCGCACTGAAGGTGACTCTTGCATAGGGCCACCCTTGCGTGCAGTCGATTAGAACCACCCAACAGCTGGAGACTGATTATCTGTTCGGCGTCTTAGCCGACTGGGGTCCCACCAGTCGTGGAAAGTTCTGATTTTTCCGCGGCATCCACCCAGGAGGAGGTGGAGAGGAGGAGCAGGAGGAGGAGGAGGAGGAGGAAGGAGGAGGAGGAGGAAAAGGAGGAGAAAGAGGAGGAGGAGGAGGAGCTGGAGTAGGAGGAGGGACGAGTTTATTCCCCGCCGAGAACACCAAGGGTTGGAGACCAAAACTAAAGACCTCCTGAGGTTGCCAGGTTTCTTTGGCCGCGATCGGTGGCGACCGACCGGCACTCCAAGTCGCAAGTCGATCGCGACCGATCGGTCGCGACCGATCGGCGAAGCACACCCGCCGCGACCGATGCCGAAATCTGAAGCAAAATCGGTAGAAACGACCATGACCATGACCACGATGATGACGACAATGCCGACACCCACGCCCACGCCCACGCCACCGACGCCAACGCCGACGCCGACGGCGACAGTGACAGCGACAGCGGCGACGTCACCGGCGACAACGTCGGCGACGGCGACGACCGCGACGGCGACGACGTCGACAGCGACGGCGGCGACAGCGGCGGCGACGAGGGCCGCGGCTGCAGGATCGAGGGATCGAGGATCAAGGGATCTGTGAATGCAAAGAACTCAAGAGCCGCGATTGCGCAGTGGTTTCCCCTGCCTCAGCGGCTTCGGATCGCGCGAAGCCACGACACAGTAGCATGCACGGTGATCGTTGTTTTATGTGTTGTTGTGCCGATCGGCGCGGGGCCTCGGCCCCCCCCACCCATGAGATAGAAGTAGATCTTGGTTGTTTGGGGCGTCTGTTTCGAGCAGGTGGAACCTCCTCCCTCGTAGGACGCACTGTTGCAAACTGCCCCGCTAAGCAGAGGTCCAGAGCCAGACCCCCCCCCTGCCCCCCCCCATCCGCCCACTGTCGAGACGCCGATAAAAAAAGCGCTTACACATCGATCTACGACATCCTGAGGCGATCTCTCGAGGCTCGAGGGATCGAGGCTCGAGGGATAAAAGGGATCGAGCATGGAGGGCCCAAGATCCAGGATCGAGGGTCCGAGATCCAGGAACAAGCGTCGGGGGCTGCCAGTTGGTCCAGGAGTCGTCCCCCGGATTTCTCCCTGAGCTTCCCCAGGCCCCCCACCCCCCCGAGGTTTCTTCGAACGGGAGGGACCTTCGGTGCGGGCCCACAGGGGTGCCCTTCGGAAGCAATCATAGGAACATAATATACCGTCTTAAATCCATGTTTAGCGTCGACTAGCGCCGGTTAGCGCCGGTTAGCGCCGGTTAGCGTCGACTAGCGCCGATTGGGAAGGCCTTACGGCCAGTGCAGCCGACCCTGCAGACGACGGCGTTGACCTCGACGAAGAAGACGATGGGGAAGGCGCCTCTGGAGGAGGGGGAAGACACAGATGATGCGAAACAGGTGCAGACAGATGCGGGCAAGATTCATATCCATATCCAGTGCGTCTTGGACTTGTTTGGAAGGGGCGCCACAAGGCCGAGGCGCACTGGATACGGATAACAATCGAGCCTCTAGGGGGAACATTTATCCATATCCAGTGCGCCTCGGGTTTCTGGGGAAGGGAGCCCCAAACTCCATACTGCAGTGGATATGGATGGAAGTACTGCCCGCAAGAGAGGGGGGGATGAGAAGGAGGAAAAGGATGAGGAGGAGGAGGAGGAGGAGGAGGAGGAGGAGGAGGAGGAGGCGAATCGGGCCAGGGCGAGGCTCGAGGAGCCAGGTTCGAGGGGCCCGGGGGGCCAGGGGGGCGGAGGGTTTCTTCCAAGCACGTCTCGGAGGGGCGGCGTCCGTCCTGGGGCCTCCCGGCGACCTCGCGCCGCCACGGCCGGGCCCGCCTCGGAAGGAAGCTGACCAGCACGGACCCCGGGGGGGGGGGGCGGTCGTGGGGCCGCTACCGAGCGGGGGTGTCGGGCCGGGCGAAAGTCAGGAGGGGAAAAACACACAGACAATAAATTCATCGGCGATTCCCAGAAAATATGGGAAGATATGGGAAGTGGGGGGGAAAACAAAAACCCTGAAAATATAGGAAAATATAGGGGACGATGTTTATTTGTGTGTATTTATTTGTGTGTCCCAGTTCCCCTTCAGAAAGGGGGGGATGGGGAAAGGGGGGGCTACGAAATCTGCTGCGTGCAGCTGCCTTCGGCCCCGCCGCCGGGCCCACTCCTCGATATACCTGGGCGCCTCCCGGCGCCCGCGAGGCGCTGGGGGAGTCGGCTGCGTGAGCTGATGCTCAAACCCCCCCTTCGCTATCCCCCCCCTTTCGCCCGGCCCGAGGGTGGGCCGGGCGTGGGAGCGCTGCCGTTGTCTCCGGTGGCCCTCGAGCACCTGCACGCCCGGCCTGCCTGATGATCCCAGGACGAGCACCTGCACGCCTGGCATCGAGCTCCTGTCCTCGCTCCTGGCACGGTTCGGAGCGCCAGGCCAGTGGCCTTCTGGAGCCCCGTTGTGCTCGTGCGCGGGGCCGTGCGGCGCGTCGAGCGGTTGGCACGGGTGGGGGCTCTCGCGGGCTCGACGCCGCTTGCAGATATGACGCTCGGCGACCGCCTTCGCCGTCGACTGCAATCGCACTTTCCGTGTGATGTCTCTGCGCCGAAGGATGGAAACAAAAACCCAAGAATTGCAAAAAAAACAAGGATTGCAAAACAAACCCTTTTTTGCAATCTGTTTTTTGCAATCCTTTTTGCAATTTTTTTTTTGCAATATTTCTTTTGCAATCCTTTTTGCAATCCTGGGTTTTTTTTGCAATCCATCGCACTTTCCGTGTGGTGTCTCTGCGCCGCGATGCCCAGCTCTGCATGCGAGGAGTGACTTGCGGCAGCAGGCGCCACGGCAATTTATTTCTCGCCCTCCTTTTCGCGGTGCTCAGGTTGCCACCGTCACCCTGGCCTTGGAGGACTCTCCCCGATCAGGGAGCACGAGAGGGAGAGGGAAGGTGAAGCGAGATGCTGCATGTCTGTGTCCGCATCGCACTGTCGTCCGTCCAGACGCTGCATGATGGGGAAATGGGTTCGCACACGGGGGCAAAGCGAAACACCTTGAAACATAGTTTTCAACAAAGGAGGATTCAGATGTCGGGGAGACGTTCTAAAGTCGGGGCTCTTCCCTCCTCCATCTCGTATGTATGTTCCTTCCTCCTCCTCCCTCTCCTCCTCCTCCTCCTCCTCCTCCTCCTCCTCCTCCTCCTCCTCCTCCTCCTCATCCTCCTCCACTTCCTTCTGTACCAGTAGTGCTAGTGGAACTGGTAGCGGCAGTGGCAGTGGCACTGTCAGCGGTAGTGGTAGTCGTGTCAGTTGTACCAAGAAGCAGTAGTTGTTGTTTTGGTTAAGTATGGCAGTATCGGTGATAGATGTGGCGGCAGCGACGGCGGCAGAGTTGCAGTACAGTAGCAGCTGCAATCGCAGCTGCGCTTTCAGCGAGCAAAGTAGTAGCCGCAGCGATAGCGGTTCCGGCCAAGATGCAGGGCCACCTTTGAGCGCACGGTTGAATCCGTTTCCGCGGGCATCGACCTCCTGGCGATGGGATGCGCACCCATGGCCACCGAGACCAGCATGACCAACGGGCAGGTCTGGAGCGCACCGTAATCGGTGTCTCGTGGCCTTGGGCACATCCCCGCCACCGTGCTTGGGTCTCGGACAAGAGGTCTCCCAGAGCCTCTTCGGTTCTCGTGGGAGGCCTGTTGCGGGCATCTTGAGAAGCCTTTGGACGCCTCTTGGGGCCTCGCGAGAGCCCCTTGGTGACCCGCTGGCGGCAGATGCCCTGACTCGACCCGCCACGCGAGCCCGCGCAGCTCTCATGTCCACCCCGCCCACGGGGGCCGGCCTGGCTCCCGAGCCGCTCGTTGCGGGCTCGGAGCGGCCTCGTGTAGCAAAAAAAGCCCGCGAGGGCGCGAAGCTCTTCGCGCTGCGCGGTTCTGCTCCGGTTCCTCATCCTCCTCTTCTCTCCCCGGGGGTCGGTGCGAGAGTGCGGAAGCTCTTCGCGCATCGCGTAGCAGCGCGAAGCGCGAAGTTGGGCGCTATTGCTTGTGGAGGCTCCCAAACTGGGAGGCCCCTGCGGGCGCTGGCTGTCCTAGCAGCCGGCGATCTGGGGAGAAGGGCCGCGTGCTGCCAGAGATGGGGGGGGGGCCTCCAGCTCTGCCCGGGCGGGGGTCCCACGATGGGCTCCGGGTGCGGGCCCCGCGGGGCCCAGGAGGGGGCCCTCGGGGGCGGTCCCAAGCCCAGCCGCGCAGCGGCATGGGTTTCTCGCAACGTGGACCCCCGGAGGTCTGGACCCCTCCTGGGCCTGGGACCAGTGCTTCATCCTGGGGTTTCTTTTGACGGTCCAAGGGCCCGACGTGGGCCCTCAGATGTCGAAATCGGCAAGACGTCGTCGGCCGTGGGTTTTTGTCACGACGCGCAGGGGGTGTCGGGAATGCCGCGGAAAGCCAGGGGCGGGGGGGGCCATGTGGCGGCCAGGATCGCTCCACGGTTAGCCTCCGACAGGGAGGGATAAAGGCAGCTTCCGACATCGCCTCAAGACGTTCCCAAAAACCCTCCTCCCCCTCCCCCTCCTCCTCCCCCTCCCTCTCCACCTCTCCTGCTCCTCCTCCTCATCCTCCTCCCCCTCCTCCTCCTCCTCCCCCTCCTCCTCCTCCGACAAGTGGGCGGGGCTGGACCGCTCGCCAGGAGTCCCGCCGCAGCGAGGAGAAGGCTGCAGAGGCCAGCCTGATCGCCCCCTTTGCGGGCGCCGCCTGCAACCACTGCAACGGCGACGACGACGACGACGAGGACGCGAAGGCGACGACAACGGCGACGACGACGACGCGACGACGATCACGACGATCACGACGACCACGACGACGACGACGACGACGACGACGACGACGACGACGACGACGACGACGACGACGACTACAACGCTTACAACGGCTACAACGACTACAACGACTACAACCACGACGACTACAATGACGACGACGACGACGACGACGCGACGACGACAACGACGGCGATGGCGACGGCGACGACAACGTCGACGACGCAACGACGACTACAACGGCGACGACGACGACGACCGCGTCGTGAAGCGTGGTCGGGCCTCAGAGTCGCCTGGGGGTCTGAGGCGGCCCAGCATTGCATCCGGCGAGCAGGAAACGGGGGGGCAGGTCGTTCAGGAATATGTCCACGATGTTCTTTTCTGGCTTTCCACCACTTAGTTACCTATGGCGTCCCAGACACAGCGCCTATCTTTATTCCAACACATGTCGCCGGAGATTTGGCCATACAGTTATGCACTACACATTGTCCTGTGGCATTTCTGCGAAGCCTTATGGGACAAGGCCCAGATGGCTTAGTGTATATCTGTATGTGCAAACAAAACTATATATATAATATATAACATGTATGCGTGTGCATATAGATATATATATGCATGTGCGATTCCCAGCGAGGGCCCCTCCCCTCCTCCTCCCTGTCGTTGCCGCTCTCGTTGCGGCTACACTGCCACCGTCGATCCCCGCAGGCCCTTAAGGGTTTGCCGCCTGGTTCCCCGCGAGGGCCCCGAGAACCTGGCAAGGATCTAGAAGGAGGAGGAGGAGGCGGAGGAGGAGGAGAAGGAGGAGGTCTTCATCACCCGGGTCGGCGGACACCGTCGGCGGCGGCGGCCTGCGACGAGGGCAGGGCGTTGCGCGAGAAAAGGCCCTCCGTCGTTACCCTTGGCCTGCTTCGGGATCCCTCGACTGTCTTTCCCAGGTGCAGCCAGGCCGCACGGTAAGGACGAGCGCCTTTCCGAGGTTACCTTTACGTCGGGCCTGTCCTTCTACAGGGGGAATATTCAAAAATAGTCAAAAAATAGTCTCGAGACGATTTTTTGACTATTTCTGGATATGCTTGAGCAATTACTGCGCATTTTTCATCCAAAATCCCCCGGGGGGGGGGGACAGGCCCGACCTAAGGCTACCCTTGCACCCTTCCCCCCTTGGCCCACCCTTGGCCGCCGCCGCTGGCTGCGCCCCGCTCGCAGAGGTGCCGACATGGTCCTCCGAGGCCCCTGCAGACTTATCCTGCATCCTTCTTACACGGGTGCGCTGCAGGCCACAGAAGAGGCAGTACCTCGCCCGCCTCATGGATAGGACCCCTACACGGGGAAGCCGCTGGGCTGAGGCTGAGCGGCGGCCTGGCTGCCCCTGCGCTGGCGCTGCTGGCGTGCTGACGGCTGGGCCCCTTCTTGGGCCGCGCGCCGGGCCCCTGTGGCGACGCCAGCTGGGGGTGCGCGCTGGGTGCCAGGAGGCTCGGCGGGAGTTCCGCCCCCGAGTGCCTGCCGCCACGGCAGGCGCAGGCACGGGATGGGGGGGGTGGCCCTGGCCAGCTCCACCGCGCGCGCGCTGTGCGCGCGCCGCCCCCCGGGACTCCCTGCCCGCCCTCGCGCCGCTGCCCTCGCTCCTCCGGGGGCCTCCGAGGTCGCCGCCCCCCCCGGGAGGCCGAACGCTCAGGCAGGGCGCGGGGACCGGAAGGAGCACGACGCGGGGGCGCTGGAGCCCGCCTCCGCCCTCGCGCCTCCCCGCCTCGCTCCCGAGGGCGCGCGCTCGGGCAGCCGAGCGCGGCGGCAGCCGCCGCACGGGAGCTTGGGAAGAGGGGGATCGAGGGCTCCTCCTCCTCCTCCTCCTCCTCCTCCTCCTCCTCCTCCTCCTCCTCCTCCTCCTCCTCCTCCTCCTCCTTCTCCTTCTCCTTCTCCTTCTCCTTCTCCTCTTCCTCCTCCAGGATGAGGACACAACGTTCCAGGGTGCCCCTGTTCCGGAACTCCCAGGGTGCTCCAGGGCGCTCCGCGATGGCGCGGGGCTGCGCTCGGGGAGGATTGCTTCACACCCTCGTTTGCGTTGCAGCTTCGGGGGGGCCCTTCCTGTCCTGTAAATGGCAGTCGTCTCTTGAACTCCGATGTGGGTTCGACGCGGATCCGACGTGGATTCGACATGGATTCGACATGGGTTCGACGCGGATTCTACGCGGGTTCGACGCGGATTCGAGACGGATTCGACACAGATTCAACACAGATCGCGGTGCGGTGACGGGACAGACAAGGTCCCCCGAAGTTTTCCTCGTCATGCCTTCGCCTCTCCGCGAGTGAGAGGACACCCAGGCTCCGTACTCTCGCTCTCCTCCTCGCACGGGTCCTAGCCCCCTCTCTCCCATTGTTTTTTCCCTTGAGCGAGGGAGGGACCGGAGAGAGGAGGAGGAGGAGGCGGAGGAGGAGGAAGAGGATGAAAAGAAGGAGGAGGGTGAGGAGGAGGGTTATTCCTCCTCCCCTTCCTTCCTTCCCCCCCCTCCCCCCCGCCCTCCGCCTCTGGGCAGGGCGGGATATGCATATTGCCGAAGCTGTTGTTTGAGACCGCTCTCCAGCCTTGTGGCCCCGCGGGGGGACCCAGACGGCGCTGCGGGTCTCGACGCTCCCTCCTGCCCAGTCGATCCGATCCCCCTCTCCTCCTCCCTCTCCCCCCTCCTCCCCTCATCCCCCTCCTCCCCCTTCTCCCCTCTCCTCCCCTCTCCTCCCCCCTCTCCTCCCTCCCCCCTTCCCTCCCCCTTCCCCTCCCCCCTCCCCCCTCCCCCTCGCTGAGCGAGCGTCTTTGGGGGGGGGGGGGGGGGCGCGGCGCACGCGCGGCGTGCCAGGCGGTCGCCCTGACCGCCGAGCTCCGGGCGGCCCTGGACCGCACGGGGGCGCAGCTGCGGGCCAAGAACGACCAGGCCCCGGCGTGCCCGTGGAGGGGGGGAAGTTGATGGGCGTGTCTTCCACCACCACCACCATCAGTTGGAGGGGGGGGATCCTCCTCCTTCTCCTCCTCCTCCTCCTCTTCCTCCTCCTCCTCCTCACCCTCCACCTCCTTCCCCCTTCCAACTTGTGGTGGTGGTGGAAAGCAGGTTCATCAGAAGTCGGGGCTCAAGAGAGACATGGGTCAATGCAAGCGGGCGTCAGTCAGAGCGCCGGATCTTTTGCAGGATCCCGCAGGGCCAGGGGCGCACTGGCCCGGTCTCGGGTGCCGGATCCCGCAGGATCCATGCAGGATGCTGCAGGTTCCTTCGGGGCTTGACTGGCCCGGGGCTTGGATGGACCTGGGTTCAGCAGATCCCCGGAGACGGAGGGCACCCGGGGAGCAGGCACCCGCGGCCCCTCCTCTGGCACCTCCTGGAGGCGTCTCGTCGCCACGGCTGGGACGACCGCTTCGGAGAGCGGGCCAGGATGGCCCGCACGGCGGGGCCCCGGGGCCGACTCTGAGCGGAGTGGGCCGGGCGGGAACGCCGCCGTGGTCTCAGCGGACCTTCCTCCGAGCGAAGGAGGACCAGCCACGCGCAGAGGGGGGTGGGGGGAGGGGGGGGCGAAGTCAGAGGAGCAAGAGGTACCCATACCGCTCACCTCCGCTCGTGTTACTCGTGTTCCCCTTTTGGGGGCCTCCTGGGCGGCTCCTCGTCACCACCGCTGGATTCGCCTCGATATTCTGGTCAGAGCGCACCCCGGGAGAGGTCCAGGGAGTAGCGGTATTGGTACCTTTTGCTCTCCCCAGGGAAGTTTCTTGGAGGCACCCCTGCTTCTCAGAAGGCGCGCGCCTTATCTGTAGGTGCAGGGCCGGCGCCTTCTGGGAAGCAGCCTTCCTCTCGGAGGCGTTCCCCCCTCCCCCTACCCGCTCGTGCGCACCGCCAAGAGGAGGAGGAAGAGGAGGAGGAGGAGGAGGAGGAGGAGGAGGAGGAGGCGGAGGAGGACGAGGCGGAGGCTGAGGGGGGGAGGGGGAGGAGGGGGGGGAGGGGGAGGGGGAGGGGGGGGGAGGTGGAAGGTGGAGGAGGAGGAGGAGGAGGGAGGAGGGGAGGAGGAGGAGGGGGAGGAGGAGGAGGAGGAGGAGGAGGATGGATGGATGGAGGAGGATGGATGGATGGATGGATGGATGGATGGATGGATGGATGATGATGATGATGATGATGATGGATGATGGATGGATGATGATGGATGGATGGATGGATGGATGGATGGATGGATGGATGGATGGATGGATGGATGGATGGATGGATGGATGGATGGATGGATGGATGGATGGATGGATGGATGGAAGGTGAGGAGGAGGAAGAGGGAGGATGATCGGGCCGGGCGAAAGGGTAGGATAGGCAAAGGGGGGGTCGAAATAAGCTGCATGCACCTGGTTTCGGCCTCGCCGCCGGGCCCACTCCTCGATACATGGGCGCCTCCCAGCGCCAGGAGGCGCCAGGAAAACCAGCTACGTGAGCTGATGATCTATCCTACCCTTCGCTATTCTGCCCTTTCGCCCCCTCGAGATGAGGAGGAAGGTGGGTTCCTTCTTCTTTCTTCACCTCTTGCCTTTTGTTTTACCCTCCCCCAGCACTGGCTGGGATGAAGGCCATCGAGGGCACCGGGGTTCGTAGCGCTCGACACCGTCCGCAGCTCGAAGCTCGAAGGGGGGAGGAGGAGGAGGAGGAGGAGGAGGAGGAGGAGGAGGAGGAGGAGAAGGAGGAGGAGGAGGAGGAGGACCTGAGGAGGAGGACCTGAGGAGGAGGACCTGAGGAGGAGGCAAGGGGGCCCAGACCCTCTCGCATCGTGACGTGTTTGGCTTTCTCGTGGCTTTTCAGCCCTTTTCTGCCACCTCGTTCTGGTTGTAGATCAGAGGCCTCTTGGATGCTTGTGGCGATCCTGGGGGGCCTCCTCTTCAGAGGCGGGTTGCGGAAGGAAAATTCAAAAATGGCTTCAAGAATTGATTATTGTTGAAGGACATGCCCGACCTAATCCCAGGGGGGGTTGGTCGAGAGTCGAGACTTCCGGGCGTCATTGTTTTGACCACACTCGCGACGCCGTGGGTTTTGGGGGGTGGGATGTCTTGGATCCGCGCTGGGGTCCCTTAGCGGCGCCTCCTTCGCCGCCCCTGACGCGGTCCTGGCGCCAGGAAGGATACGCGCGGAGCGCCAAAAAAGTCGTTTCTGCGTTTGTTTTTCTTCCAGCAGGGGGGGTCCCTAGGACCAGCTCTTCACCCTGGGGGCCTCGGGGGTCCTGGAGGTCAGAGCCCCGGGGGCCCGTTGGCGGCGAGGAGCTCCTGTGTAGGGCCCCTCTCCTCCAGGACCCGTTTCCTGCATGTTAGCCCACGTCGCCACGACAGGGACATCCCTCCCCCTCCTCCTCCTCCTCCTCCTCCTCCTCCTCCTCCTCCTCCTTCTCCTCCTCCTCCTCCTCCTCCTCCTCCTATTCCTCCTCCTATTCCTCCTCCTCCTCCTCCCCATCCTGCTCCTCCTCCTCCTCCTCCTCCTCCTCCTCCTCCCTCCCTCCCTCCCTCCCTCCCTCCCCTCCCTCCCTCCCTCCCTCCCTCCCTCCCTCCTCCCTCCCTCCTCCCTCCCTCCCTCCCTCCCTCCCTCCCTCCTCCATGCTCCCTCCTCGCGGGGTATGCGGGCCACTCGCCTGATGAGGGAGGGACGCAGCACCCCAGGCAGCCCGCCGACATGAACAGGCAACGGACTTGCATCAATGATCTCCTCCAAGGGTCCAGCTCGCTTTCAAGTACGGCAGGACAGCACCCCAAACGGTTTTATCGTTATCCTGATTGTTGATTGTTGGTGGCTTCAGGGTTTGTCAGACGCAACCGTCCTCCTCCTCCTCAGCATCAGCATCAGCATCAGCCTCCTCCTCCTCCTCCTCCCATCCATCCTCCTCTCCCAGTATTGCATCTTGGCTATGCGGGGCTCTGGGGCCCCCACCTCCAGACAAGGAGAGGTGGCCTAAGCACATTCGCATCAGTTTATGTAGGCTCAGGAGTGGTTACTGAAAAGTTGTTGCCTGGTCGAGTTCTCGTAGCACACGCTCATTGGGGCCTCAATTCAGGTGCGGTGCTGATATCGGTATACCTCGTGGACAAGGTTGGTTGCAACGACGGAAACGTTTGCATGCTCGCCAAGTTTGCGGCATATCTGGCGCAGCACAATGTGCAGAAGTTGCACGGGGGCATCGTAGGTGAGTGGGACCTGGCGGAGCCCTTGCTTGCCGATTGGTTCAATTCGGCACATGAGTTCAGACAATTGCCGCGGTGCCCTGCTTGATTTAGTGACGATCGAAGCTGGGAATCATCATCAATTGTTTGCGTTGCTCGTAGGCCATGGTCCCCATTGCTTGCAAGCCTTGTGCCATGATTGAGGATGCCACCACGTTCCCGCACCTGCCAGTTGGCCTCACTTTTGAGACGTCTTAGAAGGAGATCTGAGAGGTGGATTTGGGTCCCTGATGAGCCGCTCCAGGCCGACACGTTGCCCAAGCCAGGTTGTGCAAGGTACCCCCCAATCAAGCCTTGGATTCAGATCAGGTGCTTGATCGAAAGGGCCTGTGGCGCTAAAGGCTTCTCGGTGGCCTGGGATGCGGTCCTGTGCGCCATGGAGCACGAGCTTCTGGACAGGCACGACTTCTTCAACGTGTGTTTAGGAAAAGGTTTCAAAGTTGCGCCTGTCCCGCCAGATGGTCGCGGAAGAAAATCACATCGCCAGAACCCCCAGTGTCGAACATATGTCAGGCCTACAACGCGCTCGGGCTTTGGGTCAGATTGTTGTCAGGATTGTCTGGAACTCACGGACCTTGAGTCTCCCCACGCTTGCGTGGGATCTTCATGTTTTGTGCTCGGTCTTCCAAGAAGATCTGCTTTTTTATTTGCTTGATGCAGATGGGCAGCCCTTCGCCCACGACCTTAGCCAGACCATGTACTGCCCCAGCTTTGAGCAGCGAGCGGAGGCGGTTCTGGCCAAAGTGGGCCGCATCATACATGCGGTCGGTGCCTTCAGCGCTCAGAAGTGGTCCACATGGGCCCGGCGAACCCTCGTGTCTGGCGCGAAGGCGGCTCATCAATACGCCAGGGCGAGCGCGCTGCAGGAGGTAATGAACAACGCGGGCGACCGCGAGCAGCCCTACCAGAAGGCCGACTCCTGAATGGATGACTGGTCGACGATAGAGCCCTTGCATGGCGCTACCAACTTGGAGCGGCCCGACTGCCCCGAACCCGAGTCCTGAGCCTCCCCAAAGCATACGCGCGTTGATTGAAGCCTCGGCTGGGCATGGGTACGCACCGCGCGCCGCCCCATTTGCCGTCGCGAGATGCGACAGGGCGCTCCCGGAAGAGAAAACGGCAAGCTGCGGCAGGCTGGGGCGGGTCCAGCGAGAAGGCGCTGCCACACCATGCGACGATGTGTTTTTCAATGCGCGGCCCCGCAGGTATCAAACCTTCCCCCGGGGGAAACTCGCTCCGGATCGGGATCCGAGAGCGGGCCCCAGGAACCGAAATCGAGGAAAAACGCTGGGATTGGAAAGCGTACATCGTCGGAGATCTGGATAGCCCTCCTAGGCGAGGCTGCTGCGGGGTCTCCTCAACGGCAGCCGCGCCCACACCTGCTGACCGCCATGCTGCGGGCGATTTCGTAGGTACGGCGGCCTTTCCGTTTACTGTTCAAGCCCTTTTGGCGGCAACAAAAAGCAGCTCGTCATATTGGGGACGCGACCACGCGCTCTCAGAGGACGAGCACCACTGCCGTTGGGCTATCCCGAGAGGCAAAAACGGGCGTCAACGGCACGCGCGTCGTCGTCAATTGTGCGTGTTGATCGCCCTCTCTTTGTGGAAACAAGTGGTACTTCTTCAGCAGCAGCAAGCTGCTGGGGGT